AACCCCTAAACACTAAACCCTAAAACCCTAAGCCCCAAGCCCTAAACCCCTAAACACTGAACCCTAAAACCCTAAGCCCCAAACCCTAAACCCCTAAACACTGAACCCTAAAACCCTAAACCCCAAACCCTAAACCCTAAGTCGCGTCATCTGAGGTACACGGCATACACCCCTTACCAGGCAGAGATCTCCCAGGGACGCCTCGAGTCTCTGGTGCGCCCTTTGGGGAGGGTTTAGGGTTTAGGGTTTAGGGTTTAGGGTTTAGGGAAGGTCTATATACCTTATAGAAGCCTTCTGGAAGCCCTATATACCCTAAACTCCCCACCTGTACTTTGCTTTAACTTAATACTTGCCTCTACTATTTTGGGGGTTCCTCTTTATAGTTATAGTATAAGATCACCCCCCCAAAAAAAACAAAGCCCTACTCTAATTCGAATCATTAAGGCCCAGAGAGAGACCCTGAGGTGAACTTCCAAATAGAAGCCCTATATGCCCTAACCTCCCCTAAAGCCCAAAGCCTAAACCCCAAACCCCAAACCCTAATCTCCCCACCTGTAGTTTCCTGTAACCCAAAGAGACTTTGAGGTGAACTTCCAAACGCTTGTCTGCGAGCTTACCGGCGACCAGGGCTGCAATTTGAGCCGAAAGTCGCTCCAGCGTTTTTCAGGGTTTTTGGGTTTAAGGACTAGGGTTTAGGGTTCAGGGTTTAGGGTTTAGGGTTTAGGGTTTAGGGTTTAGGGTTTAGGGTTTAGGGTTTGGGTTTAGGGTTTTAGGATTTAGGGTTTAGGGGTTTAGGGACTGAGGGTTTAGGGACTTAGGGTTTAGGGTTTAGGGTTTAGGGTTAGGGAGGAGAATGTGAAAGCATTTACTGTATCACCGCAAACTCTGCACCCTAGACCCCGAACCTTGCACGCGAAGACCCTGAACCCCAAACCTGAAACCCGAAACCAATCTCTAAACACTAAACCCTCAGCCCTAAACCCTAAACCTTTGGGCCTCCTTTCACTTTAAAAAGAACCCCTAAACCCTAAACCTTAAACCCCAAACCCTAAACCCCTAAACCCTAAACCCCTAAAAAGCCTTTTTAACCCGAAAGCCCTAAACCCTAAAACGCTAAACCCTAAAGCCTTTATAACCCGAAAGCCAGGCTCTAAGGCCTCAGCCGCTTAAAAGCCCGGCTTCCAGAAGACGAGCTCGCTGCTACGGTTTAAGGCTTTAGGGCTTTAGGGTTTTAGGGTTTTAGGGTCTAAGGGTTTAGGGCTTTAGGGTTTTAGGGCTTTAGGGTTTTAAGGTTTAGGGCTTTAGGGTTTTGGGGTTTAGGGTTTTAGGGTTTAGGGGTTTAGGGTCTAAGGGTTTAGTGGTTTAGGGCTTTAGGGCTTTAGGGTCTAAGGGTTTAGGGTTGTAGGGTTTTAGGCTTTAGGGCTTTAGGGTTTTAGGGTCTAAGGGTTTAGGGTTGTAGGGTTTTAGGGTTCAGGGGTTTAGGGCTTTAGGGTGTTAGGGTCTAAGGGTTTGGGGTTGTGGGGTCTTGGGTTTAGGAGTTGAGGGTTTTAGGGTTTAGGGGTTTAGGGCTTTAGGGCTCGGGGTGTAGGATTTTAGGCTTTCTCCAGGCATGGAGGTGGCGAACGCATCCCTCCTTGACGAAGGAGCCGAGGGTGATGGGTTCAGGGGCTAGGGGGTTGGATCCAGGGACTAAAGGATCGAACCTTAAAGGGACCCTTGGGGTTATATAGGGGCTTTATGAGACTATGTAAGGGGTATGTAAGGGCTTTATAGGGTACTAGGATTAGGGGTCCCTTCCAGGGGTCCCTCCTATTGTCACTTAACTGGAGCCTGCGCAAGGGTTATACGGGACATTTCGGGTCAAGGGTTATAGGGGTTTAGGCTTATAGGGCTTATAAGGCTTATAAGGGTTCTTAGAGGTTGTTTAGGGTTTAGGGTTATAAGGCTTGCACGGGCTGCAAGGGTTATATGATGTGTATAACACTTCGGTTTTTTTCTAACCTCATGCCGCTATTTTACCTGTGTATCACCTGCCTGCATTTTTACCCATCGCATGCGTTGTTTTCCAATCTGCGGATACCACTTTTTGTTGACCGTTTTTGTTCCCCACTGAGTCCTCGCAAAACACCAGGGGGCTTCCTGGCTGGAGGAGTTTGGTGTCTTGACAGCTTTTTTCTTAGTTACTATTTTAATGGCGGAGTTTAGGGTTGCTTTGAACAGATGCCAGCTTCACGTTGTTATGACACCTTTACTTGGTTTCTGCAGGGCTTTGACTGGGGCTTCGGGTTTCTTTTTATGGATCTCATCTCTGCATGGCATCGCGCATTTTGAGCTGGATGGCCCTCACAGTGTGCAGTGTGCCTACGCATACTTGGAGGCCCAGGGGACTTAGTACGTCGGTTATAAGTAGAGTTATAATTGGGGTAACTCCATTTAGGGGACTTATAACTCTACTTATAACCTACTTACTAAGTCCCCTGGGCCTCCAAGTATGGAAAGAGAATGTAACAGAGAACAGTGGCTGAGAGGAACCGCAGCGGCGGAAGCAATGGCCATGAGCCTCGGCACGCACTTTGCTGGTGATCCTTTGAGGGGCTGACCAGGGCTTTTGGAGAGTATTCAGGCATGACAAGTGTGCGGCGCCACAGCTCCAGAAAAGAGTAGGCCCCAAGATTGAGAGCTAGGATTAGGGGGACGCTTGGGGATATAGACCCTCTCAATGAGGTCCCTTTTAAGAGAGCCAAAAGTAGGGTTCAGAAGGGGTACCCGTTAAGGGGTACCCCTAATAATACTACCTAAAGATCGACTCTGAATAGTACGACGCCGACTAGAAGCGGTAGTTGGGAGCTTCCATACCGGACCAGACGCTCTGTCTCGCTGTGCTGTTTGTAGATACTCTCACCTCTGAGGGGTATATCCTGCAAAAACCAGAAGTAGTAGGTAAACCACCCCAAAACTAGGAAAAATAAGGGCCCAAAGCCAATAAACGGGCTGTTACTCTACATACTTCGGGGGTCCAGGGCACTTGAAGCTCAGAATCGTTCTGAAGCCTTCAGAGCGACTGAAGGTTCGCAGGTAGTAGCTGTTAATAGGATCGGGGCTACAAGGGTTTAGGTCTTTAGGGTTTTAGGGCTCAGGGTTTAGAGTTTTGGGGCTTTAGGGTCTAGAGTCTTGGGGTTTCGGGTTTAAGAGTTTAAGGTGTAGTTTTTTTTAGGGTTTTAGGGTTTAGGCTTTAGAGTTGTAGGGTTTTAGGGCTTAGGGTTTAAGAACTGGGGCTACAAGCAAGCATGACATGACTGTAGCTACCGTGCCTACCAACCGTCCAGCGAGGCTTGTCGGGTCTCTTGTGAAGGAGCCGAGAAAAAATCTATCTACTAGTGCTATGGCAGCTTAAACTTGAAACTATAATGAGCAGGAAACACAGTATTGTCTCTTTTTGTCCTTATCGTCTCTAGCACGGCAATATGAACTTATACCCGAAACCCTCATAGTAGCCCTCATAGTACCCCTTAAAGGAACCCTTCAACGGTTCTGCGCCTCTTCAAGGATCGCCCGGGCCGTGAACTCGAAGTCCAAGAACCAGCCACACAGCTGAACGGCTTTTCCGCGGGTTTAGGGTTTAGGGTTTGTTTTTCAAGTGCCACACGACCCGTATTACATACATTGTTGCCAAGTTGAGTGGGGGCATGTACCCAGTTTCTCCAATATACGTTATTGCAGGAATACTCCGCCAGGGAAGTTAAGTATTCCATGATGAATACAGAGACGGGTATGTTGAACGATCTGGGTTCAGCGTTTAAGTTCCCCAAACCCATAGCCCTAAACCCAAAACCCCAAACCCAACATCCTAAGACCCGAAACTCGAAACCCTAAACGAAGCTACCAGGTTCTTCATCAGCGAGGCGGTTCACCCTCAGACAATCGATTGTCTCAAGACACGCGCCCACTACTTTGGCATGGCCAGGGGCTTACTTCAGAGTTGCAAGAAGCGGTTGTGCATAGTTTGTGCAAGGGTTTCGTGCCTCGGTTTGCAAAGGCGAGATACTTTGCGACTTGCATGCCGATGATAGTGGCGACGAAAAGATGGTGGCGGTGGGGGGGGTGATGGTGGTGGAGGTATACCAACCCTAAACCCTAAAACCTAAACCCTAAACCCTAAACCCATAGCAGAAACGGGATCAGATCACAGCACAGAGTATGCAGAAGAACAGCAAAGATGGCACCGAACAGCTTGACAGCCCGAAAGGCGTGGCCTAAGCCTAATTAATATAAGGGCCTAGATAGTTACCTATACTTTTTTTGGGTTCCTTATTATTATTGTTATAGTATAAAGGGGCCCAAAACTATATCCGTGAACCCTCGCATTTTCTGGCGCAAGTTATTGGTGCTCGAGCTATAGCCTCCAAGAAAGAGAGTGTCATCCCGCTTTGTAGAACCATGGAGTACAAGCTGGCAGTGGATTCCAGCAAGAAGGCCACGGAGCTGCCGCTATTGAGGGTGTGCGGCACTGTGCAGCAGAATCCGCATATGCGTGCCTTCTGGGCCAGTACAATCTCTTTCTTCCTTGCCTTCCTGGGCTGCTTCACAAAAGTTTACTACGGTTCTGTATTCTTGGCACTTTTGAGTTTAGCCCGTTTCAACATTTAAAGTACCTGACT